TAATTCACCGCTATTCTTGCTATGTGTAGTTTAGATGAACCGTCCATTTGGGTTGATGGTCGAGCTTTGTTACATATCTTCCTCTGAGGAATATTAGATCATTAGATTAGAGTCTACATTAATTAAACAGAAAGGCTTGTCACTTGCACCAAAATAGTTTAAGCTACTTTGGAAGACTCACCAATCACCACATACTTGCATAGTTGTGGTTAATCCTTTAATCACTCAATGTGGACTGTCACGCCTCTAGTAAGAAAGAAATCCTAATTTTTAATTTACCCAGCGATGAAGCATTGCTACCAGAGATGGGTCGACATGCTGTAGAAGATAGGTGTTTCCAAGATGAATTTCATACTCCCCTGAGCAGCAATCGTAGCTTTGTTTTTGCATCAATCATAAAAGAACAAAGCTATTACCTTTTGAAGAATTAAGCAAAGATTTGGAAAAAAAGAAAAGAAAAGAAAAGCGAACTGGAAAAGGAATAGTTTTTTTTTTTTGGTGTACTGAAATATCTTTAAAAAAGAGCACTCTAAGGAAGATAGTCTAGAAAGTGTTAATTGGTTGCTTAGAAAAAATATATATCAGGGCCATTACCTATCATCAACCACCACCTCCTTACAAGAAGGTGGGGGTTGAAAGTGGTTACCAAAAAAATCCAAAATAATGTGAGCTAATCTAGCTGAAGCATCAGTATTGTGTACATAATCCTTAGATTAAAAATCCAAATAAGCAGATCAGATATTAACTAACTATTAGTCTCCTGGCATCTTCTATGACATCGTAATAAGGATGATATCCGTTAAGTTTCCTTGTAGTCAAGTTAATTGCTCCCACACTATTTTGTTTGGCCAAACCACACTGTCAGTATTTACTCTCACATATTCACACTCTTTGCTTCATCAAAGTGAGTGGAAAAAAGATGAGAAAAAATGAATGGAAAAAAAGTGACAACTGAAATATACAGTTAATCACGAATAAAATGAGAAAAATGCATTAAATAATTAGATAAATAATTAGATAAATTTAATTTGATACTAACAGATAAAATAAATCCAAGCCTCTCCAAGATTTGATGGTTATATTTTGAGCTAGAAGAAGTATCATATTAACTGTGTTGTGTATATGAAATTAGCTAGACTATCCTCAGCCAACTTTCAAACAAAGTTAACTGATTTCGAACATGATGATCTGGAGGGTGAAAAATATGCATTTAATGCATTCATCTTTTATTTTTGGCATGAACAACATGTATATAGATAGACCCAAATTCGCAAGTATGTTGTGGTTGAAAATGTTTTAAATGCCAGAATATGACCTGAAACTAACAGCAATAACCCATATAGTCTGCATTAAATACTTCCTCTATTGGACAAGATGAGTATCAAATCGTAGAAGTCAGACAATAGACGCATGATCAACTTTCAGTTTTCCTAGAGAAGCACGTGCTGAACTCGGGGAATCCACACTTTGATGTAAACACAGAGATACAGAAATAAAGTGGAACCAAACCAAATTGATATGAACATTTGGTGATAATATAACGACTAGTTTGCGGGATATTTCCGCTGGAGCCCTGGTTGTTTTCAAACAATGACAACTGCATGCATTCCTAAGAGAATTCTAAAAGCGACCAGAAGTCGAGAACCACTATGCAAACTTACCGTTCTTCTGTAAGATTCTGATTTCTTCTTCTTACGACGATAATGGAAAGGAAAATCACGATGCATGGGTCTCCCACACTTTTGAATCAGAACATGAGGGAATGAGGGGGCCAATTAGAGTTAACTAAGGGCCTGTTTGGGTATCCCAAAACCGTGGTTTCAGAAGCACTTTTCCGCAAAACGAGATAATCTCATCCACATATTTATTTCGTAATCCGTAAAAGTACTTCTGAAACCATAGTTTGGTTTCTATCTAAGGGGGTGTTTGGCAAAACCAAAACCTAGGTTTCAGAATCACTTTTCTGCAAAACGAGGTAACCTCCTCCACATATTTACTTTGTAATCCGTAAAAGCACTTCTGAAACCATGGTTTAGTTTCTATCCAAACACCCCCTTAAACACACCCTAAATTAAGAATGCTGTTCCAGTAGTTCTTATCATCTTCACACAAGATGGCACTGCCAGCACCACCACCACCACCGTCACTATCATCCCAATTGTTAGACTCTCCTCCGCCCTCCTCTGACAAGCTACGATCGTCAGAGTTTGTGTTAAGCAACAGATTGTTGAATCCCTGATCCCCAGCAACAACATCCCCACCAGTACCAATCCTAAGAAGAGGCTCTTGAGAGGTCCATGTGCCTTCCGCAATGGAAATTGTCAACTCATGATGCAGGCTGGACGCATAAGACATTGAATTCTCTAAGCCATTACTGTGGTTCCACTCTCGCTGATCACCTTCTTTCACCATTCCTGCTGCCTCACAAGAACCAGAAGTTCCCACAAACTCAATCATAGGCATAATAGGTGGGGCGTTCTCAGAGAGAGTTAGAGTAGATTTTGGAGATTCAAGGTCACCACCACTGTTAATGCTTTGATCAGTGGATTTTAGCCACCCGACATTATTCCAAGGCTTGAGAACTGGGTGAGCTGAAGTTGAGGCAGAAGCAGAAGATGAAGGTGTAAATGATAGCGATGAACGTTGTTTGGATTCTCTGGCCAACCTTGCTTCAGCTTCAAGCCTAGCACTCTCCCATTGAGCCATGTGGCTAAGATTGGCTACCGGCGCTAGACACAAGGGCCTCATTCCTGGGTTTGTGGGTCACTGGGTCAATTCCCATTTTGGTGAATCTTTTCTTCAGATGCATATTCCACTAGTTCTTGATCTCATTATCTGGTCTCTTTGGCAAGTGCATGGCTATAGGTGACCACCTGAGTACAAGACAATAAGGCATAATAGAACCCCCACACCACTCCAAAAAAAAAAAAGGCAAAACCTGGAATCATTCAACTGGGACTTTTTTTTAAAAAAAAATGATAAGGAAAGAACCAAAGCTACAAACAAAAAAAGAACAACCAAGTAATGCCAGAGTCACAAAGCACTCGACTAGCCTCAGCAGCATGAAAAATCTGTAGGTCCAGAGGCCGAGCTAGAGCGCTTTTAGCAAGGATGTCTGCAGCTGCAACTGTTGCTAGAGTTTTTAATATTATTAATTTGATTGATAGTAAAAGAACCCATGGAAAATAAATAAACATAGGCTGCATTTTATATTGCTCCGTTGGGCTTCCAATTTATGCAGAGCTAATCACTCTATTCTTAGAAATCAATAAGCCCTCCTAAATTTTTATATTATTATGTTCAGGGCACGAATATCACTTTTTTCATACATGCATTTATCAGGTTAGCTTAATACTACCTCCGGTCCTTAATACTAAACCTAGTATTGAGGACAAGAGGTAGTATTCAAGAAATATCACCCGATCAAGACAGTGGCTATATTCGAGTGATGGATTCTATAGAATTACTGCTTGAAGAGCTGTGGATATTTTGCCATGCCTTGATCGGCCATAAATGCTTTGGTTCGAATTATGAGATCAAGCCTTTTTCGATTGATTTATCAAAGGACTCAGTCATTAGTCAATATTTTATTTTTACTTGGGTATAAGCACCAAATAATTAAATTATGCTACTCAAAAAGTTGGTTAAAATTATTTAAAGACAATAAATATGTAAAAAGTGCAACCTATTTTTTTAAAATGCCTTTACTACTGAAGAGTATAAATGGGAGAGAAAGTGAGTGGGAAAAAGATGAGGAAAAAATGAATTGAAAAAAGAGACCATTGAAATATACAGTTAATCACGAATAAAATGACAAAAATATATTAAATAATTAGACAAACTTGATTTGATACTTATAAATAAAAAAATTCAAGCCTCTCCAAGATTTGATGGTTATATTTTGAACTAGAAGAAGTATCATATTAACTGTGTTGTTATGTGTATGAAGTTATCTAGAATATCCTCAACCAACTTTCAAACAAAGTTACTGATTTCGAATATGATGATCAGGAGGGTAAAAAAATATGCATTTAATGCATTCATCTTTTATTTTTGGCACGATCAACATGTATATAGATAGACCCAAATTCACAAGTTTGTTGTAGTTGAAAATCTTTTAAATGCCAGAATATGACCTGAAACTAACAGCAATAACCAATAAAGTCTGCATTAAATACCTCCTCCTCTATTGGACAAGATGAGTATCAAATCGTAGAAGTCAGATAATACACGCATGATCAACTTTCAGTTTTCCTAGAGAAGCACGTGCTGAACTTGGGGAATCAACACTTTGATGTAAACACAGACATGCAGAAATAAAGTGGAACCAAACCAAATTGAAAATGCAATCTGATGAAGATGCTATTATTACGTACATCAGTCAAATAATTGTAATTGGCTAATAAATGATAAGATATTGCGAAGAATCATCTCGCATGACACTTTTCTATTGCATACATGATTTTTTTTAAATACTTATGTATATTGTTATATTGTATATTAATTTATAAGTGAGTCAAATTAGCTTTAAAAAAAATAAATATAAATATTTTAAAGTGATTTAATAACTTTCTTACTATCTCTAAATTATTCAACTGTGTTTTATATTAAGGACTAGTGGTGGTAGTATTCCAGATTTTGAAGCTTTTTCTTAGCATTGAAAATGGAATATGATGAAGATGCATTATTACGTACATCAGTCAAATAAATGTAACTAGCTAATAAATGATATTGCGAAGAATCGTATCGCATGACACTTCTCTGCTGCATGAAAGTCTTTATGGTTTCTGTGGACACAAGGGTGGCCAGACGTTACGTTCCTCTCCAAGTCTTTGCATGTGCTTAGCTTGCTGGGCACGTGGTAGCCTAGTATGGTGCTCATGATTTATATATAGCGTGGAGGCATGTGTATCTCTTAATATACTTACTTAAATCAAAACCAAGAAGAAGCAAAATGCTACTCATCATTTGAGATTATACAGATATCTTGATATATTATTATGGAGATTCCCTCAGGAATAAGAAAAGGCACGTGGTCTGAAGAAGAAGACGATCTTCTAAGAGCATGCATCCAACGTCACGGTGAAGGAAAATGGCGCCTAGTTCCTCAAAGAGCAGGTGATTAACAAACCTATCTGTTTCTATTATTTACATACGTATGATATGCGTACTAATTAGAGTTTATTTAATCTACTCGTTGCTGCATTTTGCAGGCTTGAATAGATGCCGGAAAAGTTGTAGACTGAGGTGGGTAAACTACTTAAAGCCAGACATCAAGAGAGGAAACTTCACTGAGGATGAAGCTGATATGATAATGAGGTTCCATAGACTCCTAGGAAACAGGTGTTACGTTTTCGCCTTTTGTCCGGACCAAAAGTTTATCTGATCTGCTGAATACTACTGTAATAGATTCGAACATTATTTGTGTTGAAATGACTCTTCACATAAACAATATATTATTGACGAAACAAACAAGCTAATCCTACCATATGCATGGTCATTAATTATTATTAAGGGTGCACAAAATGAGCATATTTGCTTTTAGAACAGTGATAATGATGTGGACTAGTGCTTCATATTTGTGTGTGCGCGCGCGCGCGCGCGCAGATGGTCGCTGATTGCTGCGAGGTTTCCTGGAAGAACATCAAATGACGTGAAGAATTACTGGAACACCCACATACGAAAGAAGCTGCAACGGTCTGAGGAGAAACAAGAGGCGACCAGCATGATGAAAAGCCACAAAGTCATAAGGCCCCGACCTCTGACTTTGTCCAGAAACTGGTCAAGGCCGAGTAGAGAGGGATTATCATCTGAAGAAGGAGCTGCGAATACTTGTGATAATAACGATACTCATAAAAGTGAACAAAGTAGTTGGAGATCAGACAAGGCTATAATGGCGAGTGATGACAGTGACAGTAAGAACAGGAAGAGTGAGAGTAGTGAAGTGGCGGGGGTAGGTAGGGATTCTTCAGCAGAGAAGAAGGAGTGGTGGGAGAGTTTATTGCTTGATGACGACGTCATGAACAAAGGCAACGATGAAGACAGCTTTTGGTGTTTGAGATCAGAGGAAAACAGCAAATTCCTGGCTCAATTCTGGGACGACGACCAACCACTTGATTTCTTTTCAATATGATCCCAAACTCATCATCCAATGACGCAATCCCACTTATGTATTAATGAAAGTGATGATATTAATTACTCCTCTAGTTCTTAATACAGGACTCAATTTTGATGATATTAATTTTTTAAATTACCCTTATTGATACTCCTTCAACCATAATCAAGTAGGATAGAGAGAGAGAATATTAAGAAAGATAATTATAGTATTTTAGGAAAAATATATCATATTTCTTATATTAACTAACTTATCTAACTTTCTTAATCTAATCAAATTATAATAGGTGTTATATTAAGTATTGGAGGAGGATATGGATATTGACATGCCACTCCGCTACTTGATTATTACAAGACTGTAAATAGAATAGTGTGTCTTAACACGCAAGCATGATGACAAAATCCTCCCCCATGATCGGATCGAGTCAGCTATATGAACTGCACAACGTGGTTCTGCTCTATCTACACGTACGGATGATAACTACCTCACTCATATGGTGTAATCTTTAATTCTACTGAGACATTACTGTGTTTTCGGAATTGTAGGAAATAATCTTATATATTTAAATAACAATATGATCCATAAATAAACGCATATTTACAAGGGGAAAAAAAACTATTTTGCAGGAATGTAAAATTCTCCTTCATTTTTTTAATTTGGTGTGTATATACACACACGCACCTTTTTATCTCCCTCGATTAAACCCTTTACCTTTGTTTTGTTTAGCACTCTTAACTCCTGTAATTTCTACCTTTAAAGTGTGTGCTTTTGAGGAGGTGTATGGTTATTTCTAAGAAATCATTCATAAATGCTTTACGAGATTTCACAAAATGTCGTATATTATAGGGACCAAATGCATTATATATAGATAACATCAAATATTCTTGATACTCTACAAATTAAAATGGCTTATATTTTGATAATAAAAAATATATTCCCACAATGTGACTTATGTTTGAAGATGGAGGGATACCTTCTCTAATTTCTCTCATGACTCCCAAATTAATTAATTAGAGAATGAATAAAAAATCTTAATTAATATTCTCTCGAATCATTGATATAAATTACCTTTAACTATCTGATGTAAAACAGAAAGGAGAAAGAGGAAGAGAAGGGAGATCAGAGAAGAGTATTAGAGAGAAAGGAAGAGCAGAGACAAGAACGGGAGTAGAAGAAAACTATCTGATACGTTTAATAAAGCCAAGTCTGCTTACATGATAGAAACCTAGGGTACTTATAACTTAATTTTAAATAAAATAATTAAAATGAAAAATCAATAAGTGGGTTAGTGGGTAGTTAACAAAATAAAATAACTAACAAAAGAAAATTAATTAATTAAATCTGTATCACTATCTCACCAAGAAATTAGTATTTTTGGAATAATCAATATTTCACAAACTCTTATAGAATGATATGTTTTTTTTTTGGGCCAGCTAAATGACGTATTTTGAACCATGAAACTCTCTAAAAGATCACTACTCGGGAATCTAGAACTCCAGCCAAAAAAATTACCTAATAAAATATTTACACTGTATAAAATGGGTTTTATATTTAGAATCGGAACAATAAAAGGGAATCTAGAAAATGTTGGAAAAAGATGACATGTTTTTACTTTATCATTAAATTGAAAAATAAAAGCATAAATTTAAATTATAAAATTTTCACTGCTAACTATGAGAAAATCAAAATGGATTTTCGTCAGGATTTTCGAAGGTAGGTTCAAAGGGCCACTTCGCGTTCAGCTTCGCTTTTAATTCAGCAACTCCCGAGTTTCACATCACATAGGAAACGACGTTGTTTACGAGCAAAGGAGGGGCAACAGATATAAAAAACTTAGTTAAAATCTAGTTTTCCTGAATATAAAGCCTGTTAGAAGTGTTTATCATTATATATGTGTCTTCTGTGACCTTTTTTTTTTTTTAAGGAGTTATTAAGATTATCGTCATGCATGGATTATCATGCAACTTCAAAAAAAAAGAAAAAGATTTATTTAAATTATAGTTTAAAATTAAGTTAATGTACTTTTGTTAAATAAATTAAGTAAAATTATATATAATATACTCAAATGATACATGAGCATGCGTACAAGATGATGTGATCACAGGAGCTTTAGCTTCATACTGTTTTGTGTTTGGTTGAAAAATAATTAAATGGACTACAAATCCAACATGAAAATGGGCTAAATTAATTGGGCCTATTGGATATTACAATATTTGGATTGGGCTGCCTCAAAATCCTTTTGGATTCCAATATTCAATCTCCAGACTTCAAAGTTAAGTGCGCCGAAGACCAATGGGTTTGGTCTAGCAGAATGAGTTAGTCCCTCATAACCTTGGCAAATCAAGATTCGAATTCCCACAGAGAGAGGTGCTCACATTTAGTACCAGACAGTATCTCAAATAGGATTGCCTCCAACAAGAAGATACCTATACTTTAGCAACAAAAAAAATGAGCTGAAGAGTTGCGCAGGCGGGTGAGTGAGAGGCAGAGGGGGGGAGATTTGAAGGGAAAAGAAGATAACTGAAACTTGGAGCTGCAAAATCTCGGGGAAACGTAGATTAAAAAAAAAAGTTCTGACTCATGGCACTTATTTGTCTTTTCTATTTTAAAATTTCCCCTCTCCCTTGGGTTGCACGAATAAAATGGATCGACACTTTGTTTGTTTGTTATGTCGATGGTTTGTAGCGAAAAAGTGAATAACAAAATTCAAAAACTGGAGACAAGAGTTTGCGAAAAAGCCCTAAACCTCATGTGAGCGAGGGGCATTGATGAAAATAGGAACAGGAGAAAACTAGATTTTAACCAAGTTTTTCCAGTTGTGAAAGTAAACTTCTTTACATGCAAAATATGGATATGACCATAAAGTTTACGGTAATTCATAGCTATTCTTGCTATGTGCAGTTTAGATTAACTGTCCATTTGGGTTGATGGTCGAGCTTTGTTACATATCTTCCTCTTAGGAGTATTTATTTGAAAAAATTACATTCAGGTCCCAAACACGAAAAATTACTGCTAAAAAGTCCCGAAAAATTTTCAAATATATGATAGGTCCTAGGGGATGTGGGAGTAAAAGATTGGAATTGTGAAAAGATGCCCTTACCCTTACCCTCAGTAATGGACAAGGAAGCGGGGTCCCTGATTCCCCAATTTATGGTCCCCTGATTTGAAGAAATCATTCAGCATTATTGAGCCCTGAATCTCATTCATTCTTTAGTCTCTCTACTTTTATTGGAAGAAAAATTTGTTCAAGCTCATCACCGTCACCGTCATCGTTGGAAAAAGAGAACTCGACACTGTTGAAGTGCCATTACTCTGTTCATCCCCATCGGAAACAGACTCCTCTAAGGTTTCCTTTCAAAAAGCTTCAATTGTTTGGTAACGTATTCCTATGCTTTCTTCGTAACGTATTTTTCACTACTCTGTCCCAATGAACTAGTTCTAGTTGGTATTTGAAGATGATTAGAGAGTTTAATCCTTGTACCTGTATGTGAGAGGACATGAGTATTTATGAAAGCTGATCCTGATTTTTATGTAATGGATCCATTCACCCACTCTCGAATTTTGAAGCCCTCCCTCATATCTTTATTTTCAGAAAAACAATTATGACATCAAATCGTGAGAAAGAATAATTAAAACTAAAAAAAGTCATTGTGAATCGCTTTTCTCATAAAAAATTGGATAGCATTTATTGATTGATTCCTGTTTTATTTACAATTAACAAAACCTAAAATTGTTGCCATACTAACTTCTTTGTAGGCTATTTATCTTTATTGATAATTTTCACATTTTATCATAAACCTTAAATCTTAATCAGATTTTGCATAACTAATGCTCAATTTTAAAAGGTACTTTATATGTGGAGCCATGGAGGGTGTTCTTCAACAATTTTTTCTTTTGCCATGTGTAATAAGAAATAGAGTTAGATTTTGCTTCTCTAGGTGAGGTGGTTTTATGTATAAAGGAGAGCATTTCACAATTTTCTTGCATTATGCAATACACTAAATTAAAATGGAGCTCATGAATGCAAGCTTTACACTTCTCATCTTGTATGCTTTGGGTAATTTAGCATGGCCAATTGATGCTATATAGCTGAGCATTTCAATTTTATCTACTGTTGAATCGACACTTTCTGCTAGCAGTGAATGATGATTTATAGTTATGTTGATGGCGGCTATTGTAATAGACGTATGATAATGAAACTATTGTGAAACTAACACTAATGAGAGATTCAGGTGGTTATGTCAACTGGTATGAAACTACAGCATAATTTAAATAAAATTTACTGGTTTCATTCCTTACAACATATGCCTTCTTTTGGACATCATATAATGTTTATTACAATTATATGATGTCTGAGAGAAGGCATGAAGTTCTAGGAAATTTAACATGCATGTGACTACTCTTTTTAAAGCTTTAACATTGATATGTGTTGAAAGTTGTTTTGTCAGGTTCAAAAGCTGGTCTTGCTCTCGTAAAACAAGTAGCTTGGCATGGAAAATGCATTGGAGTCACTCTACGATCAGTAACGTGCTCACCAAGATCCAAGAGACCAACAAATGTTCAATAACGTGCTCCCTCTTGCTGGGGCTTCAAAAATTGCAGATCAAGTATGCTTTTTATCTTAGAAAGTGCTTGGTAGAATAAAGAGTTTTCATAATAATTCATGCTTTGCTTGGTATAATTTGTTTGTTGGAATACTGACTTGTGATTGAATTTGTAGTGAAGATTAGCAATTTTTTTGTCCGAATGTATCATGAACTGCATTTGTGATTGAATTATTGTGTAGAAATAAATTGATTTGGATATGTAGATATAAGTAGGATTCTAGGTTGTTCATCTTTATTTACTTGATCTAATCTTTTTCAAGAAACATTACTAATCTTGTTCTATATTATTTACCATGATAAAATGGTATTTCTATAGGCAAAAGGAATTGGAGACGTTGAAAGAGGACAAAGAGATCAACTTAAGCTATCAAGATATATTTGAATGTGATGGAATTGGGTATTTTTTTTAGG